TTTATACATCATGACAGTTTGTACTTGCATGCAGTATAAGTAATTGAATGGAATATCCCAGGTAAGCAATGAAGTGCAACAATTTACCACACTATTTCTCCCACACTTTTACATTAAAGTAGTTTGGCTAGGGAGGCAATTTCATCAAAAAAATGTCACTAAAAGACAGTAACTGAACAAAAATGCAACTTTAACAGATCAGGTAACAGCCCAGCTAACAAAATATGTTCTAAAAACTTTTCTGACATTACCTATGAATGTTTTTTAAAAGTTCAAAACATACAGGGTTTTTTTATGTATTAAGAATGTTTCTTCTTAGTTATGTGAACGTTGGAGGAACAATCCATTTTAATAATTTTGAAAACATTATGAGACTGTTACATTTGAATGTTAACACACCCATTTTTTCTTGGTTTTGCAAACGTTAGAGGAACATTCCATGCTATTATTTTGAAACCATTATGAAAATGTTATTTCTGAATTTTTCCAGGTTTTTTTATTGAGAACCTTTTTCTTCTTGGTTATTTAAACATTAGGCAAGGCAAGTTTATTTGTATAGCACATTTCATACACAATGGTAATTCGAAGTGCTTTACATAAAAGAAAAGAAAAAAAATAATCACAACAATAAAACAAGGAATTTAAAACTTTGAAAATTATTTAAAAATTGATTTAAGAGGTTTAAAATTAATTTAAGAAAACGATTATACATAGAATATAGTGCAATCAGTTCGGACATCGCACAGTGCTCATTCAATGAATGCACAGCTAAACAGATGAGTTTTGAGTCTGCATTTAAATGTGACTAATGTTTTAGCACATCTGATCTCTTCTGGAAGCTGATTCCAACTGCGGGCGGCATAATAACTGAAAGCAGACTCCCCTTGTTTTGTGTGAACCCTTGGTATTTCTAACTGACTTGATCCTAATGATCTGAGTGGTCTGTTAGGTTTATATTCAGTGAACATATCTGCTATGTATTTAGGTCGCCAGCCATTGAGTGATTTATAAACGAGTAAAAGTACTTTAAAATCAATCCTAAATATAACTGGAAGCCAGTGTAAAGATAGATAGACAGACAGACACAGATAGATAGACAGACAGACAGACAGACAGACAGATAGATAGATAGATAGATAGATAGATAGATTTCTCAAGCCAACATCATAATAATTGAAACTGTAAGACATAAACAAACCTTAAACACATTAGGGACCTTCAGTTTGGGGGAAGGCACTCCTAAAGTGTAATCCACCAGAACCATCGTAAAAATAGTGATGAAGACTGCAAAGTCACTGATGAGGGCTCTGACCTGGAGGAAACAGGATTTACTATTGTTATTCTCCTCCTCACAGCAGCAGCAGATACTCCACAGTATCACTAGAGAGCGCCAGAGCGCAAAGAACTACAGCATCGTGACATAAACGCCGCAGCAGCGGTGGCTCTCAGACAGACGGTGGGCGGTAATGACTGCAGTACCTTGGTGGGGAAGTAGCGGCTGGGCTTGAATTCTTTGAGGAACGCTGACATGGCCACAGTAGAGAAGAAAAGCACTATAGACCAGAAGAGAACATCAGGAACGTACGGACCATGAGGCCCACAAGCCGACCCCACAAATTCTCCTTTCTTCTCAATGCAGTCCTGAAATGAGAAAGAGAAATAACGGGCTAGGCTTGCTATTTTATTTTTTAAAGTAATAGTTCACTCACAACAACAGGATGGTGAGTAAATGATAACAATTGATTAATTTTTGGGTGAACTCTTGAAATGCTGTGCATTACTGAATTTCTAAATCACACACACATCTGCTTAACATGCTGCTATTTTCACTCTTGCCCATTAAAAGACGAGCAGCAGCAATGATCTTTTTTGAGCTTTTATGGTGATTTATCAGATGTAATCCAGCTCAAATTTCCTTAATCTCACTTAACAGCCCTGCTTCATCATGCCACTCAAATAAGACATTTTTAATTCCCATAAAACATAACATGCTTGGAATAACTTTGTTTAAATGTAAAGCAAATGTGGAGTTGATGCAATGCAGGTTATAAGACAAAAATAACAGTTGGCCTTATTCTCAAAATTTCTCATTTGTGAAATATTTGGAAAATTTGATTATTTTGACAATTTCGTTTTCACAAAAATTATACATCATTCCACTGAAACCATACATAAGTGGTCAATGTTATAAATATTATGAGTATTTGATCCATCAGGCTTTTATGGCTCATAAAGTATGATATATTGAGAATATAAAGCTCAAACTTGATATTCAGAGCCCTAAAGTGATCAAAAATATCCAGTTACTGATACTGATATTTATATGGCCAAAAAGTAAGATCAATTTCTGATTCTTGTAATGTAAATCGATAAGATATTATAACAGTATAGCAGATACTTACATAAAATTACAAATATAAGTTGTCTCTCGATATCTCTATATAATAATAATGTCTTAGTAGGTTTATTTATGATTAAAGCTCTGTAGTTTCAAAACATATAATGGAGTGCAATAAAATGACTGAGAGATAAACAAATAAACGTTCCTCAAAAGTTTGATGATCATATTTGATATTCACATTTGAATAGAAATTTGCTAAATATGATACAGCAGGCTTTACAGGGTTAAAATCAGTTGTAAACCAGGTCAGGGATTCTCAAAAGACACAAATGCTTCTCTGACCTGAACTTCCAGAGCCTCCCAGAAGATCTCCGGAGCTGAGATGTTGTTCTGCTCCCAGTATTGAAGAGTGGCATTGCTGGGGTTTGCAGGCTCAATACAGGAACATCTACAAGAACAGAATATTGAGGGTAAAATGCATTTGTTTCTTTAATACTACTGCATACTGATCTTCTGTACAGCACTGGAATCTAAATTAGGCTACTCTGAGTCTTTCATGCCATTCCAACCAGTGTTCACCTGTAAGTGGTGAGTTTCTCCAGATTGTTGTTCATGTTAATGGGATACGTCTCCCCGAGATGAATGAGCTTCTCCAAGGCCTCGTAGATGAAGATGATGCAGATGAGAGAGGCGAAGGCCTCCTCCGTGAAGCGTGTGATGTAACAGACGAGGGAGCTGGCATCAGTGGCCACCAGCAGCAGACAGAGGAACGCCGTCCACAGCCCAATACATGCCCTGAGGGACAGATACGACAGCCCGTACTCCCTGCGAACAAACACACCGCGAGCCATGACTCATGTTAACACAGTCTGAGGCTTACACGGGCCGTATGAAGTTTGAGTTATTGGACAGTTTGGTGAGAGATTTCAAGTCTGAAGAGATGTAGGTCATGGTTAGCTGTTAATAAGATATTCTGAGTGTTTGCTAAGCGGTTTCTAGTCTGTTCTGGGTTCTAGAGCAATGCTATGGCATTCCGGGTGGTTGCTAGATTAGATAGATGATTGAACAAATGAACAAATGAATGAACGAACTAACGAACGTTAGCTAGATAGATAGATAGATAGATAGATAGATAGATAGAACAAATGAATGACAGATAGATAGAATGAAAGAACAAACGTGCGAACAAAAGAACGAATGAACAAACGAAAGAACGAACGATATAAACAGACAGATAGATAGAGATAGATAGATAGATAGATAGATAGATAACAATGAATGACAGATAGATACAATGAAAGAACAAATTAGCGAACGAATGAACAAACGATAGATAGATAGATAGATAGATAGACAGATAGAATGAACAAACGAGCGAACAAATGAACGAACAAATGAATGAGATAGATAGATAGATAGATAGATAGATAGAACAAACGAATGACAGATAGATAGAATGAAAGAACAAACGCGCGAACAAAAGAACGAATGAACAAACGAAAGAACGAACGATATAAAGACAGATAGATAGATAGATAGATAGATAGATAAAAACGAATGACAGATAGATACAATGAAAGAACAAACGAGCGAACGAATGAACAAATGATAGATAGATAGATAGATAGATAGAGAACAAATGAATGACAGATAGATAGAATGAAAGAACAAACGTACGAACAAAAGAACGAATGAACAAACGAAAGAACGAACGATTAGATAGATAGATAGATAGATAGATAGATAACAACGAATGACAGATAGATACAATGAAAGAACAAATTAGCGAACGAATGAACAAACGATAGATAGATAGATAGATAGATAGAATGAACAAACGAGCGAACAAATGAACGAACAAATGAATGAGATAGATAGATAGATAGATAGATAGAATGAACAAACGAGCGAACAAATGAACGAACAAATGAATGAGATAGATAGATAGATAGATAGATAGATAGATAGATAGAACAAACGAATGACAGATAGATACAATGTAAGAACAAACGAGCGAACAAAAGAACGAATGAACAAACGAAAGAACGAACGAGATGAATGAGATAGATAGATAGATAGATAGATAGAATGAACAAACGAGCGAACAAATGAACGAATGAATGAATGAGATAGATAGATTTAAATAAGTGTTTGCACTAAGCAATATAAAACTGATTTTTTTATATTAGACATACTTGCAGAATTTGAATAATATTTTCTCAAACACCAGGACGGGTCCGGTGCTGCCCAGAATAGTGAGAGGCTGGCCGGCAAAAAACGAGTAAGCAATTCCAGTCATGGAGGCTCCAAACAGAGATTCAATTGCACTCTGGAAAGAAGGGAGAATATGTCACAAAGCATCATGTTTACATGACTGCACTAATATAGATTCAAATATTAATGACTAGCCAACTAGGCCAATTAGATGTGCCTGATGTGTTCAGGTGTTCTTACTATGCGTCCCTCTGTGGCTTCTCCCAGCAGTCCTCCGAAGGTGATAACAGGGGACATGCAGGCGCAGTACAGGAACAGGAAAGAGGCCAAACACTGCAGGCTGAGCGCATCTGTGAAATCCGACAGGAAGTGCGGAGCCTTCCTCTTCACATCCAGAACCAATCCACCAAAAAGCCTGACAAAAAACACCAGACACAAGATTACTGCCGTCTGAGCTGCGCAAAGAGGTGGAAAACTGGCTTAAACCGAATTCACAGTGTTACATTCCACAGAGAATTACATGCAAAATAAACACTCACCAGGCTATTTTAATTTCACCAGGCAATTATTTTCATGAAAATTAAATGCAAAATTACTATAATGCAAAAAAAAAAAGCACTATTACTTAAATTTGTATTTTTATAGTACTGTATTATAGATGAAAATGATAGGAATTTGAAAAAAAAAACTTATTATGCATTACAGGAATTTGGGGTTGAATATGTGTAATTCTCCTGAAAATAATGTCACAATGCAAAACAATTTTAATGCACCTAAAAATATTCTTCATTATATTATATTATATCAAATATTCTAAAAAATAGTCTTCATTTACAACCTATTATTATTGATTGATTGATCATTTTATTTGATTTCATTTTGTTTTTCTTGCAAGTCTAACAACAACAGAAAAAGAAGTTTATCTATGAAATATTCCTCACATGAAGTCACGGTTTTCTGACCAGTGTTGTTTCACAGTAAGACAGAAAGTCTGGCGCGTCTTGCATATAAAAAAAAACAGTTGCACTGTCATAGGGACAAAAATATATATTCGGGCTGCACGATAATGACAAAAATCATAATTGTCGATTATTCCTTTGAAATTGTAATTGCGATTATTAATTTACGATTAAATGAATGATGTTTACACCTTTGTTTGAAGCAACTGCATGCCATATTTTTATATGAAAATAAACAAGCTGAAAACACTAACTGAAAAACTTTTATTGCTTTTCTATAGTATCAAGCTTCAAATGTCAGATTGGTTTCTCTTTAAATAAAAAGGCAAAAATATGCATGGTATTATAATGTTATACTAAAGCTAAAATTAAAACAATGGAAAAACCCTTAAGATAACATGTAGAAAGAAAAAAAAGCATCATAAGCACGCAGAATAACATAAGTGGACTTTGAACGATTAATTGCTGCTTTGAACGATTATGTAATTGTGGCATCCGTAATTGTAATTGCGATTAGAAATTTGATTAATTGTGCAGCCCTAATATATATTTTAATTTAGTAAATGATAAATACAATTTCATAGCCTGTATTAAATACTTTAAACAGCAAATTTTCACAATTCACCCGCCATTGACTAGTGTGGCAAAAAAATATGTATAATATGGATAAAATGGTAAAAATATTCAACCAATTCAGCTATTTTTAATCCATTCTTTAATCCATTTTTAATCCAATTTTGTATAAAAGTGTCTTAATATTTGGCATTCTGATAAAAATGAGTCAAAAAAGAGATGTTAAAATCAAAACAGATTTGTCGCACTGGAAATGCAAGGTCAAATCGAGACCATTGCATTCTGGTAAACAGTATTTTCTGTAGCACAATTTAGCAAATATCATCCAGATATTTCATGCATACAGAAAAACTGCATTTTGTGCTCAGTGTAGACATACTATATAAGGCATAATTCTTTAAACAGAAAGAAATATTAATTAGGGCTGATCAGATATGATCGCTGCGAACCATTTGGGAGAAAAGAGCCATCTGAGAACAGAAGGGGATTATTGTTGTGAGAAGAGAGAAAGTCACTCAAAGTTGTGAAAACTGTCACTCAACAGGAAGAGTGTGACCAAATGTCAAACATGGCGTCTGTCCAGTTCACTGGAGAGTTGAAAACCTGGTCTTCAAGTGGCACGGCTCTCGGTTACATTGTAGTACAGAATGAAAGCATCGTCCTAAATGATCTGCATTATTACAGTATGTGCCCTTTAACTGTCATAATGAACGCAACGGTGAGCCGTGTGACCTTTTACAGCCATTTGGCTTCAAAGAGGAACATTTTATTTCTCAGAGGCTGTCCTTTCATAGTTCAGGAAATTAAGCCGTTGTGTTTAAAGCAAGACACTACAGGCAAAAACACTGTTTTTTTTCATGCAATGGTTACTTTTGAGATTCTGGATTATTTGGCTTTTCGTAACATATTGTTTCAGACTAATGGACAGAAAACTTCCAGCATGCACTTTTAAGTGTTTGTTTTATTGCACTTTATCTAGTTGCGTCTGTAAATTTCATTTTTCTTCATTTCAGCCGCACTTACATACACCAAACTTTACAGTTTTACTCCTATCTGTATTCTGAAGGTTTTTACAGAAGGGTTTGCTTATATATAATTTTCCTAATTTGATACAATACATTATTCCTAAAAACATAGTAAAAAAAAAAAAAAAAAAATTCTGTCTGTTGACAATATTTTCTGATTTGAAGAGTAATAAAAAGAGAAATCCAAAACGCCCTCGGTAAAAACCTTTAACTTTAATGTGTCAACAAAATCAAACAAGAATTTTGAACATTTTGAAACAGATTTCTGTTCCAAAATTAATGCAAATTAGTACATATTTAATTAGATGATACTTCATTTGCATAATCAAACATAATATTTACAAAAAAAGTGTTGTTTTAGTATCATTGAGAAACTATTACAGTTTGTATTATTATTTTGAATTTGTTTGTATTTTTACATTTTTTGTTTCATTTTCACTTTCAAGTTTTAGTACTTTTGTTGTATTTATTTTGTCATTTTTATTAGTTTTTGTGGTTTTTAAATGTCTACATAGTTTTTAATCATTTTTATTTCAGTTTTAGTTCATAAAGTTAAACTAAACGAAAATGAGAAATGTTGCTTCGGCAGCTAGCTGAAATAAAAGTTAGCTGAAATTTTTTTTTTTTTTAACATTTTTATTTCAGTTAAAGTTTATTTTATTTTATTTCAAATAACAAAAAAATATTTAATTAAGGTTTTAGTTTTAATTAACTATAATAACCCTGATGATGCGATTAATCGCGATTAATCGTTTGACAGCACTACTGATAATACAAAAATGTGTCAAATTACTTTAAAGAAATATGAGTATAGATCAATAAAATGTGAATAACAGCTCAGACAATTTGGAAAAAATGAATGATAAATGTTTTCACATTGATTAAAGATTCCATATTGACTTTGGTTTCTAGGCACAGCTGTTAAGATTAAATTAAAATCTCTTCTGAGATTCTAGAGGACACAGGGAAAAAAAAGAAGCATCTAAAAAGCAGGAGTCTTCGGCAAACACCTCCATTTCCTCTAAAAGGAAATATTAAAACGATCTAATTTATGATTTTTATTTTCAAAGGCTTTCACACAAACTGACATGTGATTGTGATGTGTCTACACACTTACACACTTACACACACACACACACACACACACTCCAGACTGACCTCCCGGTGCGCTGCAGCTCAGGGCCTCCGTGTCCACCATGTTCCTCCGGCTCTGCCAGCTCTCCATTAGGCACTGCAGGGATCTTTCTCTTCTCCTGTTATATCAGACACACAGACAGAGGAGTGTTTGCAGTGATATTCCTCAGACGTTCTGCTTAGTGTTGGTTCTAAATCTGTGACTGTACATATTAAACTACTGCAATTATTTCAACATGCAAACATTTGTTTTTAGACAGCTATGATGTCATCATAACAACTGCATACTGCATTATGATTGGTCTTGTGCTACTTGCATTTATTAAACTAAGTTATAGTTGTAATTACACTGCATAGTTTAATCATTTACTCACCGTGATGCTGTTCTAAAGAAGTTTTTGGTTGGTAAGATTTTTTATTGTTTGTTGAAATATCGTATGCTCATCGAGGCTGCATTTATTTGATCAAAAATACAGTCAAATTGTGAAATATTATTACATTTGAAAATAACTGTCTTATATGTTAATATATTGTGAAATGTGATTGATTCCTGTGATCAAAGCTGAATTTTCAGCATCATTACTCCAGTCTTCAGTGTCACATGATCCTTCAGAAATCATTCTAATATGCTGATTTGCTGCTTATAAATGCCTTTACTATCACTTGTGACTAAATGAATTCATCCTTGCTTAATGTAAGTATTAAACAGTAGTGTAAAGGATTTTCTTGTGCTTATTTTTAGAGACAAGCTCCCCAAAAATGTCTTCTTTTTGTATTCCGTGGTAGAAACAAGTCATGCTGGTTTGGGACAGCATTACAGCAAGTAAATAATGCCAGAATTGTAATTTTGGGGTTGATTATCTCATTAAAGCGTTTAAAATCTCAGGGGACATGTCAAACAAATCATTTAGATCATCAGGGTTCAGATGAATCACTGTATGCTCAGTGGTTCCTCAGATGAATGTCTGCATGCTGCTCTTATCTCACTGAACAGCACTGAAAAATGGTCAATTTTCACTCTTTTCTCTCACAGTACAGTGTTAATCCTCTCTTCAATATTTTCTAGATAGAGATTCAACAGCAAATGCTCCATTTTAATCTTTATAACAGATATAGACTCAGCCAGCTGTGCTTTTATAAATCATGTGCATTACATCACATGACTTACTGTACATACACATGTGGCAGAAAACACTGACTTTGACTTAGCAAACAGTTTTTCATTTTATATTAACCCCAATAAAGCCAATGGGATACTTTTAAACACTTTTGAAGGAGGAATATGTGTGATGTGCACTTCATGATGCTTTTCCCTCACTAAGCACTGCACCTCATTCCTGTCAATGTAATTCAAATTTTCAATTTGCACAAAAATTCATATTTATGCACAATTTGCATTCGTCTACATACATTTAACTATTTCAAGATCTTTAGATCAAAAGCCTTTTAAGATCATGAGAAACACATATGTGACCCTGGAGCACAAAAGCAGTCTTAAGTCGCTGGGGAATATTTGTAGCAATAGCCAAAAAAACATAGTATGGGTCAAAATTATCAAATTTTTTTTATGGCAAAAATCATTAGCATATTAAGTAAAGATCATGTTCCATGAAGATATTTTATAAATTTCCTACCGTAAATATATCAAAACTTCATTTTTGATTAGTAATATGCATTGCTAAGAACTTCATTTGGACAACTTTAAAGGCGTTTTTCTCAATATTTTGATTCCAGATTTTCAAATAGTTGTAGAAATACATGTACAAACCATACACTAATGGAAAGCTTATTTATTCAGCTTTCAGATAATGTATAAATCTCAATTTCAAAAAATTGACCCTTATGACTGGTTTTGTGGTCCAGGGTCACATATTTAGTCTTTTGACTAAGAGTTTTCTTTAACTTCAATCCTTCTGTTTTCTATCCTACTTCAGCTCTGTGTTGTCTTACTGTAAGTTTCTTTGGTTAATACAGTAGTTTCTGTTTCACTGACCTGGGATGGGACGTTTTTTGGTGGCTCTATCCTGATGGACGGGTCCCATTCTCCCGGTGGCAGAACTGTAACTTGGTCAAGAAATTCATCAATTCCTGCAATCAGATCATTGCGGTCTTTAGCTTTATAGGCCACATCATGGAAAACCTACAAAAGACAAAACCAGAACATTCTTAGTCAAAAATGTATGGATATTGATTTCCACCACAAAATAAAGCATAAAATTAAGTTCATATCTCAAAATTCCTGACCTTTTTTAAATAAATATTTATATTTTTAATTTATATTTATATTTCTATAAATATATATTCTGGAAAAAAAAGTCATTTGTGACATAAACTCGCAATTGCAATGAAAAGTCAGAATTATACGATAAAAAGTCACAATTACCTTTAATATTTTTTCTATTTCATGGCGGAAACAAAATTGCAAAAAAAGAAAAACAATTTGTGAGATATACAGTAAACTCAGAAGTCGGAGGAAAAAATAAAAATTGAGACGTAAACTCAAAATTCTGAGAAAAGTTAGAATTGATCATGTAAACTCAGAATTCTCAGAAAAACAGTCAGAACTGCGAGATGCAAACTCAGAATTCTGAGGAAAAAAAGTCTGAATTGCAAGATGTCAACTAATAATGCTAAGAAAAAAGGGTAGAACTGCAAGATGTAAAATTCAAATCAATTCTGATAATAAAAAAGTCAGAATTACGAGATTTAACTTTGAATTTTGAGAAAAGTCAAAATTATGAGATGTAAACTCATAATTCTGAGAAAAAAGTCAGAATTGCAAAAAATAAAAATATTAATTTTGAGAAAAGTCAGAATTGTGAGATGTAAACTCAGAATTCCAAGAAAAAAAAGTCAGAATTGAAAGATATAAACTCCAAAAAAAAGTTAGAATTGAAAGACATAAACTCCAAAAAAAAAAGGTCAGAACTGAAAGATATAAACTCCAAAAAAAAGTTAGAATTGAAAGACATAAACTCCAAAAAAAAAAGGTCAGAACTGAAAGATATAAACTCCAAAAAAAAGTTAGAATTGAAAGACATAAACTCCAAAAAAAAAAGGTCAGAACTGAAAGATATAAACTCCAAAAAAAAGTTAGAATTGAAAGACATAAACTCCAAAAAAAAAAGGTCAGAACTGAAAGATATAAACTCCAAAAAAAAGTTAGAATTGAAAGACATAAACTCCAAAAAAAAAAGGTCAGAACTGAAAGATATAAACTCCAAAAAAAAGTTAGAATTGAAAGACATAAACTCCAAAAAAAAAAGGTCAGAACTGAAAGATATAAACTCCAAAAAAAAGTTAGAATTGAAAGACATAAACTCCAAAAAAAAAAGGTCAGAACTGAAAGATATAAACTCCAAAAAAAAGTTAGAATTGAAAGACATAAACTCCAAAAAAAAAAGGTCAGAACTGAAAGATATAAACTCCAAAAAAAAAAAAAAAAAGTCAGAATTGCGAGATGTAAACTCAGAATTCAGAGGAAAAACGCATTGAAACATTTTGGACATTATTATTCCATTATTCTGTTTGTGTTTCATGAAAGAAAGAAAACAATGCAGTAAATAAATGATTTTCATTCTAAGACAAGCTATTTCTTTAAGACTTCATATACTGGAAGCCCGGTAGAAAAGTACATATTCACATTTTCACGCTCTTCAATAATGTCTTAAGATGTTGCCTTAGCAACATCAAGCAGCAGCTTGGCACGAGGGTGGTTTTCTGGCTAATTAGCAGTCATTTGCATGTTATTATGGCTGTTCTGTAAGTCTCCTCTGCACCTCAGAGACTAAGTGAGAGAGAATCTGCTGAGCTGTGAAAGACCTCAGGAGTCTCCAGTGCTCTCATCTCTGTGAGAAGAACGCTTCAGTCTGCATGAAATCCAGTGGATTCAAGCAATAAGCCACTCACGGCTGGGAATTTGTGGGGTGTTTTTACATACAATGCAAAGCAAAGCAACAATTATATGATAAAAGATGGAAATGTTCAACATTGAGTTACATTTATTAATATTAATGGGTCATTCCTTCCATGTAGTACAGTTTCATGTCTCTCTTAATATGTTTAAGAGTTTTTTTATGTAAATCACATTAAATTTCTTTTAGCATATTTGAGTTAATAAATGTTTAATTATTTAAAGCAAATTTGAAATGATTTAATCTTGGTTTGAGCGGATGACAAAAACTTTTTTTTTTTAAAGAAATATCCTAGGTGTTTCTTCATTTTTTTATTTCTCTAATTGAAACGTATCAAACAAAATAGCTTTCTCCTTTGAATATTGTGTTATTCCATTTCCATTCATTCTTTAATTAACAAAAGCCAGTTCCTAAATTATATAATCTTCCAAGAAGTGACATAATTTTTGATTGATTTGATGAACTCTGTTAGGTTTTCTGTTGTATTAATTGTTTTGAATCTCTCTAAAAATTTACTTTTAGATCAAATTACAGAAACTGGGATGATACAATTTTAGAAAGTATAAAATTATGAATATAACAAAAATTAAATACATACAAAAAATAAGTTTTAAAATGGTCCAAATTAAGTTCTTAGCAATGCATATTACTAATCAAAAATTAAGTTTTAATATATTTACAGTAGGAAATTTACAA